AGTATTGTCATACCTAATGTAATGTTAAGGGATGAAGATGAAGAGTTGTTTGAAATGAACTATGTTGAGTTCATAAGGAGGGATATGGAAGGAAGTGATCTTGACACAAGGAGGAGGATTGCATGCGAGCTACTCAAGGGTGTCGCAACTCATTACAAGGAAAAAGTTGCTGAGAAGGTATCCCTTCAGATAAATAATTGTTTAGCCATGTTTTCTCAGAATCCAGCTGTAAATTGGAAATTTAAAGACTGTGCTATCTATTTAGTTGTCTCCCTGGCCACTAAAAAGGCAGGTGGTACTTCAGTGTCAACTGACCTGGTGGATGTGGAGAGCTACTTTGGAACTGTAATTGTTCCAGAGCTCCAAAGTCAGGATGTGAATGCTTTTCCAATGTTGAAGGCAGGTGCATTGAAGTTCTTTACAATGTTTAGAAATCTGATACCAAAGCAAATTGCACTGGCATTGCTTCCGGATGTCATTCGTTTCCTTGGTGCAGACTCCAATGTGGTCCATTCTTATAGTGCAAGCTGTATAGAGAAGTTGTTGCTGATAAAAGAAGATGGTGCAAGAGCAAGGTATACAGCATCTGATATTAGTCCGTTTTTGCTAGTCTTGATGACAAATCTTTTTAATGCCTTGAAGAAGCCAGAATCTGATGAGAATCAATACATAATGAAGTGTATCATGCGTGTGCTTGGCGTCGCTGAGATTTCTCGCGAAGTTGCTTTACCATGCATAACTAGTCTCACCCAAGTCCTGAATGTTGTATGTCAAAATCCAAAAAATCCTGCTTTCAATCATTACCTGTTTGAATCCGTTGCTGTTCTGATCAGAAGGGCATGTGAGAGGGATTGTTCCCTCATATCTGCTGTAGAAGAAAGCTTGTTCCCTAGCCTAGAGATGATCTTGGCAAAAGATGTGAGCGAGTTCTTCCCTTATGCATTCCAGCTTCTTGCTCAGCTTGTTGAGTTGAATAGACCTCCTATCCCAAAACACTACATGCAGATATTTGATATTCTTCTCTTACCCGATTCCTGGAAAAAGTCTGCAAATGTTCCTGCTCTGGTCCGATTGCTCCAGGCATTTCTTCGGAAAGCACCTAGTGAGCTTAATCAAAATGGCAGGCTATCAAATGTCCTCGGCATATTTAACACACTGATTGTTTCACCTAGCACAGATGAACAGGGGTTCTATGTGCTGAATACAGTCATTGAAAATCTTGGTTTTGATGTTGTCTCGCCATATGTACGCCATATCTGGGCTGCATTATTCAAACGGCTGCAGGAAAGACGAACATTGAAGTTTGTGAAGAATCTTGTGATATTTATGTCTCTATTTCTTGTTAAACATGGCTCTCAAAATCTTGCAGCTTCGATTGATGCTGTTCAGGAAAATTTATTTCGTACTGTTTTGGAACAGTTTTGGGTTCCCACCCTCAAGTCAATCACAGGGTCTGTTGAGCTCAAATTAACGGCGGTTGCTTCGGCTAAACTTCTCTGTGAATCCCCATCATATTTGGATTCTGGGCTTTGGGGAAAGATGCTTGATAGTGTTGTCACTCTTCTCTCTAAACCAGAGGACGAGAGAGTAGAGGGTGAGCAAGAAGTTCCAGACTTTGGTGGGGAGACTGGATATAGTGCTACTTTTGTTCATCTATACAATACTGGTAAGAGAGAAGAGGACCCACTGTTAGATATACGGGACCCAAAGCTATTCTTTGTCACATCTTTAGCTAATCTCTCAGCTCGATCCCCTGGCCAATACACCCAGGCTATAAGGGAAAATCTCCTCCCAGCAAATCAGCAAGCATTACTTCAGCTCTGCAGCGCTTATAATATAGCAATAGTTTGAGGACAAAGGCATTCCATGGTACACTCTTCCTTTGATTATGTGCTCTATGTGAAATTACCTTGTTTTACTTATCCAATTACTGTTTCAGTTAATGTACTATTACTCTATGATGATTAAGTTCTGATAACTATTGCTATGACATCATTTGTGATTTTTCTTGCTTGCTTAGTCATGCATTCTTTTCTTTTTCGTGCTAAAACCATCGTTAATACGTTAAATTATTATACTCCGGTATAAAGCATTCACTTTACAACACATTCACACACACCACCTTCCTCCTATCTTCCTAGCACCTTCCTAAGTTGGCTATTACACCAATATGTGTTCTTCTCACTAGTAAAAAGTAACAAGTCATATATCCTAAGTGGTACAATGTTATTACTATTATCTTCAAGTATTAGTTGCTCTTATATTGTTTTTGATATCGAACAGATGGCAGCATTTTGACACCACCCGCTGCCCTTCTAAATCATATTGCCTCCATCCCAAAAAACTTTTCCAGTTTTGAACAGGAAAAACCCATCTATTTTAAAATGGTTTTATTTACAAATTGGTATAGAAATAAAAAGTACAAATTACATTTTCATAAACTAAATAAAAAATTCTACAAAACATGTGGTGACAAGAATATTTTAATTCATCAAATGACCAATGAAAAAAAACACACAAGTTAAAGTCATCGGAAGCTTGGAATAGTAAACAGGAAAAGTTTTTTGGGACGGAGGAAGTAATATTTCTGGCGTGAGTAGCCTCTTTCCAGCATGAATACTATTTTATGGCATAAATTGTACACTTTGCGACAAGGGAATCCCAAGTCAAAACCCACCACCAGACCCATCACCTCAGCACTTCTGTTCATTGTAAAACCCTCCACCGGAGTTGTTTGGCTGCGCCTCCATCCGATTTTTTCTAGACGGGGCAGGTCGTTTTTTTCTCAAATCAACATGAATCCAGTTATCTACCAATGACACCACAAACACAGTTGCACTAGTTGTCTCTGTGAGTCTCACTGGCTTCCTGACCTCAAATACTCCAACCCCATAATTGATTTGGCTCTTGGAAGTACGTGCAATACCCCGTGTCTTTTGAAATTATTTATTTAAATAAAAAATACAAGTTACATATTAAAACTACATCAAAATTTCTACAAAACAAGAGGTGACAAGAATATTTTATTTTATCAAATAATCAATGAAAGCACACAAGTAAACAAAAGTTATCGGGAGGCCAAAATAGTAACAAGGTAATCTATTTTGCGACGGAGGGAACATGTATTAACAAAACCAGTCAATACATGTGCTATGTTATTTCATAAATGTATAAAAATTTGGAGTAAGGTTTGTTTTAGCTCAGAGATATATTGGGCAGTTCATATCATTTTGATCTCCAAATATATTGTCTGGATGATTAATTCCATGCATCTCTAGACACAAAGACGAATAATGGAACTCAGATGGAGGGACTAGGGAGTACTTGTTACCAACAGAAAAAAGAAGGAACACAACGATAGCCAAGTAAATTACGGAGTAAAAAACAACTCACACGTGTGTAAAAAAATATCTAAATGAACATAAAATAGGAGATTCCCCTTCCTTCTATCTCGGTATCTCCTTCCCCCTCTATGTCTCCAAGCACGTTCTCCTTTGTCCAGTGCTCTAGTTACGTACTCGTTATAAAAACTACAAACAAATGTAAAAGAAAGATCTAAACGAAAGTACACACCCAAACATCTTAAGAAACATGAAATAAGAGATTTCATTTTCCTTTGCTTGCCCATTGTCCGCGTTACACACACACGTGCACACCTATTGATGGGTTTAGTTACAAATGTGTTCTGTTCAAAGAGGCAAAATGCTCTGCCAGTTACAGAGTAGTCTCATCTGTTTTTTTACAAATGGTGCACATTCTGTAGTGAAATTTTAAGTCATTGTGCTTTCTTTTTTATGCCTAACTATCTTCAAGTTCTACTTTCAGGGAATTGGTGCCATACTTCTAGATGGTCTTGATGTTCCAAAGTTACTTTGGCTGAATGGCCATGAATCGTGATATTCTGTTTCTGGCCTACATTCTTGGTGGCAGGAGCTTGGTACCCACAATTGTGGCTTGGATTTGGGACAAGGTTGTTTGGTTGTTGGTTCTTGAGACAGGCGTACGTGCTTTTGCGTAGCACATTTTCTTTGTATGCCCTATCGTTTGTTTTCTCTTTGATGAAGTCAATGAGACGAGTCTATTATACATGATAGTTTTCTTTAAATCCTGCAGATTCATTCCTTGTCCCTTAGGTCCCGTTTGGTACAAGGAATTCAAATTATGGAATTGGAATTGAGGACTTCAATTCCAATTTTGGTGTTTGGCAGCACAAATATTATGTGGATTTGGAATTGATAGTGCAAAAAATGAATTGAAATGGGTGAATTCAATTCTATGGAATTAAATCACATGGAATCTCAATTCGAATTCAATTTCAATTCCACCATTTCTGTATACCAAACGGACCCTTAGGCCTTGTTTGTTTTGTGGTTTATCATGGTTAATCTGTAGTTTATAAGATGGATAACCATGTTTGTTTCTATTTTCAATTCTTAGTATGGTTATTGATGATAATCCATCCCTTCAAAAATCATATTTTTTCAGAAGAGTTTTCAAACACCACAACTCGTTAGCCTTTTATGTTTATAAATAGTTTGTTTTTAGATCCCAATTATATTTAATACTCATATATTTCTCTTGTGCCTCGTACTATTAACACAGAATAACATCATATGATAGAGTGCTTCTTTGGTGCACTTGGGTGTATATTATTTTTGCAAATTTTTTCACATAAAAAAACTTTTTTTTTAATTTTTTTAATTAAAAAAAATAGATATTTATTTAAATAATAAGAAAATATTTATTTTACTTATATGTAGGTTAATGGTGAACTTTAGGTTTACCATAGAATTTGCTCATATATATCATAATTTATATAAATTCCCGTTGTACCTTGTGCTCTCGTCTTTTATTGCATACCATACAAGTTTATTGCACCAATATCTCTTTTGGTTTGCTAAATATGTATTGTTATACCCCGTGGTTTCATAACTTACAACATTGCTCCCTGTGGTTTTACTACCTCTGTCCCCTTGTATTTGTCTACTTTTATTTTTGCACACCATCCAATGCATTTCTTTAATCCATTTTATCCTATAATTTGTATATTAAAAAATTATAAAAATTATATATTAATAATCTATATGTTAAGACAAATCAAACAAGATCACACATGACTATATTTAGGCTTACACATTGAGAGAATTTGATGAGTCAAAGTGCTTAGATGAACAGTTCCAAAAGTCAAATGTGAACAAATGCAGGGGGACGGAGGGAGTAATATTTTTATGCTAATGTCCCTTTAGTTTAAAATACTCTTCAAATATTAAATGAATAACATCGCTATCCCCCTACGCTTTTAGAAATGGGGATCAACACCACCTCTCCTTTTTTTCTTAATTATTTTTCTTTTTCTTCTATTTTTTTCATCAATATGTTTGAAGATCTTTTTAAAAACATTTTCATAAATAGTTTAAAGTTCTTTTTCAAAACTATTTTTATACTACATAATGATTTAATAATAAAAAAAGTTGTGTTTGAAATAAAAAATTAATTAAAATAAAAAGAATTAACATACATTTCATTTGTCTCTAATTAAATAATATTATTTTGTGCAAAAGAGATTCTTATTGGTTCATTTTCAGGATAAAAAATCAATGAAAAATTTTCACTTTTTTACACTGAAGCTTATTTCACATTCTCTAATTTTTAATATTTTTTCTTCATGATTTTTAAAAAATAATTTTATAAAGTTACTTTTATTTAAATAAAAAAAATAAAAATAATAGAAAATAAATTGAAGAAGAATAAAAGTATATAAAAAAAATACTTTTTTAGAAGAGGAAAATTAAGTTATGAAGAAAAATTTGTTACGCATCCACTCAAAAAAATATTATGAATATTTAATTAAAAAAGGATTAAAAAGACTTTACTTTGTATTCTTTTGGTCCCAATAGATTCAAAAAAGAATTTTTTTTAGAAAAAATGAAAACATATAATTTGAGACAAATGAAGTATATTTCAAATTTTTTATTTAAAATGCCAACAATTTTTATCTTTTAAAACATTTTTAAAAACATACTCCATAGTTTTGAAAAACAATATTTTTATTATTTCAAACACAATCATTTTTTCTTTTCTTTAAGGAAAAAAGAGGATGTGTTGGTGCATATTTCCAAAATCATACGGGGCAACGAAACTATTCATTTAATGTTTGAAGGGTATTTTAGTCAAATGGAGCACTAACATAAGAATTTTAAAACAATAGGAGACAATGATGTAGCTTTTGAAACTATAAAAAATAATGGTGCATATTTACCAAACCGGTATTAATACAATAAATTTCATATCATGCTAATTTTTCAAACATGGACATAGAAGTTATAAAAATGATAACCGTACAGTTTTCATACCATACATTATGTAGCTATGTTGTAGCCAATCCAAACAAGCTTTACGACAGGCAGATTGCCTCAATCAAACATCTGTATACATTATGAAAACACACAAATAAATAAAAAAATATCGATTTCTTTTCTTTTAAGTTCAGGAGGGAGAAACTTTTCCTTTTTTTCTTTTCATTTCTCGACACATTTTTTTGGGTAGGAGTGGGTAAAAATATGGACCGATATTGTTCCCATCTGAAAAGCGAGTTTTTGGGTGATGCAATAGTTTTTTTGTTTTGTGTTTTTTTTTTTTGAGGAAATGGTTGATGCCATAGTGAAGTGAATGAGCTGCCAAACCGGTAGTTGGAGTAGCCTTGAGAATTTTTGCATAGGGCAATGTATCACTCGACTCATTTTTCGGTTGAGCTGATTTCTTAATAATTGGGTTTTAAGGCCCAAGTTGCAATAAGTCCATCTGTTTTTATATTTTTTACTTTTATTATTTTAAATTTACATATTATACTTGTCCAATTATAAATTTTACACACGTTATGTTTGTCTATGTTGATTTTTTACACACAGAACAAAGTTTATTTTTCAAATAAATAAATACTACTCTGAACATTGCATATTAAGAATGTAAATAAGTTTTGATTTTTTTTTGTAAGAGGAATGTTATTTCACCGACTCTGAAGGAACAAAGAACAATAGTAAGGAAATAAAAACTTTCAAAATATACTCTCTCTTTCTCTCTATTAATTGTATCGTTAGCTTGTTTCAGTTTGAATTTTTATATGGCTCCGTTTGGTATGCGGAATTCAAACTATGGAATTGGAATTAATGACTTGAATTTTAATTCTCATGTTTGGTAGCACAAAAACTATGTGGAATTGGAATTGGTAATGCAAAAAATGAATTAGAATTTGATAAAATCAATTCTATGGAATTGAATTTCATAGAATTTTAATTCCATTTCAATTCCAATTTCATCAATTCCGTGTACCAAACAGACCCTATAGAATTTTCTCCGCTATTTATATTGTACGCGAAGATTTGCATGGTAATTCGTCAATCTCCCTAACCTTGGTGGCACTACGTTCGACATAATGAACGTGAATTGTGGCTAAAGAACTAGTTTGATTGAGGGCGCTGATTTCTACATCGGCCCAAGCAACCAGGTCCAAGATCTCGAAGGCCCATCTCTTAACTGTACAAGCATCGAACCGATGTTGCCAAACGGGCCGCCCCTGATCCACAACTCACAAATATGAAATGATTATGCATAGAGCATATCGGGCTTACCGGCCTAATATCAATCACAAGATATATCTACTTAAATCATTTCATATGCTCCGCAACACATTTTTTTGTTTAATTGATGAAGTTTTTTCAATGGAACGGTAAAAAGTTAATTTGAACAAAAACATTATAACAAAAATGGGGAAAATGCACCACAGCCCCCTATGGTTTCAAAAAAAAGCTCCAACACCCATCGTGGTTTTAAAAGTAACTTGTAATATACTTCTGGTTTGTAAAGAGTGCACATGCACCCCAATCTGGAAGTAACTTATACTATTTTTTTAAATCAATTTTTTTCTTAATTTCTCAACTTTGTTCCTCTATTATTTTTTTAAATCAATTTTTTTCTTTATTTCTCATAATTGAATAACAAAAAAAATTATAGAAACCAGCAAATTAATTACATATAATGAAACAAACAATCTAATAATGATAAAATTCATAATTAAAATATTTAATTCAAACAATCTAATAATGATAAAATTCATAAACAAACAGTCTAATAATGATTTTGTAGTCGGTAGTCTATCTCGATATCCGAATAACATGGACTACCGACCACGACGACCTCGCTATGAACAATAGCTATATCATAGATTTCAATTATGTCTAAGTTTATGTTTTATGAATTTCACAAAATAAATTAGTTATGACATGTATTTTGTAACCTTATTTTTATGAATGAATAAATTATATGTACTCTATCAATAAATTTGTTGTGACTTACTTCTTATTTTAATTTCGGTGTATGGTGCATTATTTAAAGTCAATAAATAATTATTTTAGTTATGAATTTTATCATTATTAGATTGTTTGTTTCATTATATGTAATTAATTTGCTGGTTTCTATAAAAAAAATTGTTATTCAATTATGAGAAATAAAGAAATAATTATTAATTAAAGAACTTCTCCCCTGGCTTGAGTGGTAGCAAGCCCACTCCCCAGGATTCATGGGGAAGTTCACCCAGGTTCGAGCCCCAGCGAAGGCAACAGCATTGGCTCTTTGTGCGTCATTAGCTTGAGAATAGTATGAACAGATACTACATTGTAATAGAGTCAATAGCATTCAAAAAAAATATTAATTAAAGACAATGAGATCGCTAACGACCAATGAATAAAGAAATAATTATTCCCTTCATCTCAAAAATATCGTCTCGATAATATTCTACAATTTTGATAATTTCTGTTTATTCAAATGTGTTTATTGATTATTTAATAAGATAAAATATTCTTATCACATCTTGTTTTATACTCTATTCGTCCCGTTTTAAATCGTCTGTTTTGACTTTTGGGCATATTTAAGAAAGAGAAAAAAAATAAAGTTGATTTTTTGAAATTGTCATTACTTTTTAGAAGAAATGACAATGAATGAGAAGATAAGGTGAAGAAAAGTGACTTATTTTAGGGGTAGTTTAGGTATTTTACTCTTAAAAGTTTACGATAACAAGTAAGAGGCAACTTATTTTAGGACGGAGAAAAAAGACAAACAGACAATTTAAAATGAGACAGAGGAAGTAGATCTTTTAATGTTGTTTTGAAAAATATAATATCTACCTTTTATTTCTATACTAATTTGTAAATTAAATAATTTAAAAGATATGAAATTTTGTAAATTGTTTGAAATGAGATGATATTTTTGGGACAGAGGAAGTAATCAAATGTGAATCTATTGAGCTTATCACGTAAGAGTGCTGCTTTAGTGCATCTTGGGTGCATATCATTTTTTATGGACTTTCTCAAATAAATTTTTTTTACTTTTTTATTTAAAAAACAAATTCTTATTTAAGTAGTTAAAAATGCTTATTTTGCTAATATGTAGGTTCATGTTAGACCTTAGGTCCACAATAGAATTTGCCATTACGTAATAACTAATAAGTTGCACTGAAAATATGGCTTCGTAATACTCTCTTTGTCCATCACAGATCTTCACAAACACGATTCACAGTGTCAAGTTTAACTCACTTTATTTACTACTCATTTCATAAAATAATATAATCTCTAATAATATCCGAACCCGATTAGAACTAAAATCGATAAATTCGGAACTATATTTGTCTTTCAATAAGCATATTATATTTTTAAATTTTTACTTTTATTTTACCATTTGAACTAATTACATTACTTGCTCATTCCCTCATAAAATGGATTATCTTCTTGAAAAAAAATAAAAAATTTCATGTCTTAAATTTATTATATGTAAAAACTAAAGATAAGTTATACATATAAATGATAACGCACAAACAAATAAAATTTCCGTAATTTTTAAATAGTGAAGAGTGATATTCTTTATGGGACGAAATGATTATCTGATGAATTGTATGGAATAACTACTTTTATCCTAATTTCATCCCATTACAATAAATTTTATTGATTTGATAGTTAATTTGATTAGTTTCAAACCAATTTACTCAATATTAGTCAATAAAATTAGATGTTAGTGTTATCATTTTGAAAAGACTCTTTAACGGTAGAATTTAGTGTATCATTTTCAAATTTGATCTACACAATTACAGTTAGGTGTAAAATTAATTATATTTGACTCTACTAAATTTAATTTTATCTATTTTCAACCAAGTACACTCAATAATGTATAAATTTTGCACTCAATTGAATAAAATTCATTTAATTTCACCCAATTTTACTCAATTTTTACCAAATTATATTCAAATGGAACATAACACTATTTGAATTTATCTTTTATCTTTTCATTTATAAACATAAGTATATTAGTAGATGTGAGAAAAATTTTGTATTTCAAAACTAAATTTTAAAATCAATTTAATTATATTAAATTTATATCATAATTAAATATATATGTTTTCATAATTTGTAGTCCAAATTTGTAAAATATGACTAAAAAGTCAAAAAGGGAAAATTATTTAGGATAGAGATAATATAAAAAGAAAAAATATAAAATAATATGAGGTATTGAATTGATGATAGATTGATAAATGTGATAAAACATAAAAAGAAACAGGGATAGTTAAATTTTATTTATAATATAATATATATCCAAAATATATTTGATCCGAAACCGAAATATATCTGAACCGATCTAGACCTGAAATCGAAATATATATCCGACTCAAATTGTATCCGAACCGAAATCTATCTGAACCGATTTATAACCGAACAGTATCTGAACCGACTCGAAACCGAACCGAACCGAACCGAAAAATGTATAGAATCGAATCAAATCTGAACCGAAATTTAACCGATCCGAACCGAACCGATTATAACATATAACTGAAAGATATCTTAACCGAAAAAGTCCAACCCGAACCTGATCCGGTTGACCTGATTGCCACCTCTAATTATAACTTCTATTTTAGCAATAAAAAACATAGAAATATATTTTTATACTTTCTTCATGTTTTACTTCTATTTTGATTTTTTCCTAGTGATCTAAATATAATTTACTTTGAGAGATTGGGGGCTTGTCAAATTTTTTAACAATCTAAATTTGGGGGCAATTCTTTGTCCCAATGTTTATTGGCTTATTACTGATAAATAGTTCTTAGCTTAAATAGGCACTCCTTTTGTCCCATACAAAGATTAAAGGTTTAACATTTGTACTTTTTTGTCCTTCCAAAAAAATTACACTTTCCTTAGAATTTGTGGTCATTATACTTTTTCTCTCCTCTACATTACTTTCAACTGCACAATTTAGTTTTTTAATCTTCGTACTAATTTAAAGGTGGAACCTTTTTTTGAGATAGAGGCAGTAAGTCATTTGGAAATATTTATAAAAGATAAGAGATAGGCTTATAAATAATCTACTCAAAACCAAAAAGCTTGCATTAAAATAATTAGGAAAAATTACCCAAAATAATCCCAACTTTACCCGGTCTTTAAAAAATAATCTCACCTTTCACTGTGATGCATAATAATCCCAACTTTACTGAAATTTGTCAGTTTTGGGTCGCCGTTAAGTTTTTAACAGAGGGTTAACGGAAATGCCCATTTTAGGCAACAAAATGAAAGTTGGGATTATTTTTGATGAATTTTCATTTTTTTTATTTTTTTTTTAAATTTTTCATTTAAATTTTTTAAATTACTTTCTACCTCCATCGTCATTTCTTTTTCCTTTTTTAAAGATTAGTCTTAGTTTAAAAAATAAAAATAATAGATATAAAAAATGAAAAAATGAGAAATGTAACTAAAATGATACAAAAATAATAAAACAAATAAGGTAATCAATGGAAACTAACTTGAAATTGGTAAAAGTAAAATAAAAATATACGGGTGGGTTTTAATATTTTACGCATTATACAAAGTATTAACATATCACTTCTTATTTTTTAGAAAAAATTATCTAAAATAATTCCAACTTTACCGGACGGCTTGTTCTTTTAAAAAATAAGTACTCCCTCCGTCCCGCTATATTCGTCCACTTTTGACTTTTGAAACTGTTCATCTAAGCACTTTGACTCATCAAATTCTCTCAATGTGTAAGCCTAAATATAGTCATGTGTGATTTTGTTTGATTTGTCTTAGCATATAGATTATTAATATATAATTTCTATAATTATTTAATATACAAATTACAAGATAAAATGGATTAAATAAGTGTATTGGATGGTGTGTAAAAATGAAAGTGGACAAATACTCTGGGACGAAAGAAGTAGTACATTAAGACTCCGTATAGTGTGTAAAATGTTAAAACCCACCACTCCGTATATATTTATTTTATTTCTTACCAGTTTCTGTTTAATTTCTATTGATTACATTATTTATTTGATTAATTTTGTATGGTTTTAGTTATTTTTCTCATTTTCATTATTTTTATATCTATTTTTTTCTAAGGTAAGAATAATCTTTAAAAAAGAAAAAGAAATTGAGGTTGAAAGTAATTCAAAAATTTTAAATAAAAATTTCAAAAAAAATTAAAAACAAAAATTCATCAAAAATAATCCCAACTTTCATTTTGTTGCCCAAAACGGGCATTTCCGTTAACCCTCCGTTAGAAACTTAACGGCGACCCAAAACTGGCAAATTTTAATAAAGTTGGGATTATTATGCATCAGAGTGAAATGTGGGATTATTTTTGAAAGACCGGGTAAAGTTGGGATTATTTTGGGTAATTTTTCCAAATAATTATGTAAGACATGCTTGTTTTTTTTAATGCATAAATAACTTATAAACACAAAAAATATGTTATCAGTTAACTTTTAAGTTAAAAACAGTTTATAAAATTATCTCTTCAGCAGATTTAATGAAATTTGTAGAAGCACATGAGCAAAGATTGGAAAGGAATCTTGGGGATAGTTTGAGAAATGCCTCTCAATCTAAAATTAATTTGCGGCATAAAAAATCTAAAGATTGAAAAGATAATGAAGGTAAAAAATTTGATAATTAAACAATTTGATAATGAAGGTCAAAAATTTCAATCTGTCGGTTTAAAGGAAAGCAAAAATGTCATAACGGCAAAAGATTTGATAAGAGATTTGTAGGTTAAGAAAAAATTGTCAAGGTAATTTTAGTGTAGAAAAAGGAGGTGAAAAGTGTTGGCTTCATGTCTCCTAATAAAGATTTTTTTTAAAGGCATATGGTGTGCACCTAGTTGTTTCATTAATCATACAAAAGTGCGGATTGGAAATGGAGAATTTGTGGAAATAGTTGGGAAAGGAACCAATAGCCATAGCCATCAAGAAAAAAAATCAGGGATTTATACCTCACAAAAAAAAGTAAATACTTGAACTACTTGAGAAGTTCAACTTTGTTCAATCTTCTACTTCCACTATTCAACTAGTTTTTCATTAGCTTCTATTAACCACTTCTAAAATACATTATAATATCAAACATAAAAATATACAGATCGCAAATAAATGACTTTTTGATCGAAACATACATTGTTAACACCACCCAGCTTTAAAAAAATGGATAACATTTATTAGATAATAATCAAAAGTGCTAGAGTCTCTCAGAAAACACTGTCTACCCAGCACTAACAAATACAATGGCCACAAAGAATAGTAACTGCAACACAAATATCTACAGACTACAGAGAAGATCAGAACAACAATAGCAACAAGAACAACGATGCAACGCCGTGTATAAGTACCGAAATCTCCGGCAACAACTCGGGCGAGGAGGAGTTTTGTATCTGTATGGTAAAGTTACAGTTTGCTTGAGATATGTTCTGGTCAGTCACCTCAGCCAGACCTTGAAAGTTGCAGCTAAACTCATCTTGGTTCTGTGCCTGGAAGTACATGTTAAACGCATACGACGCATTACCTCTCGTATCCAAACCATTGCAAGAAGAGCCGTAACCAAGTGCCGTGCAGTCTGAAAATGTGCAAGCATAATTGACATTCTCAGCAGTTAGGTTGCTCGAAACATCGGCATCTGACTTCAACCTGCACCACTTCGTATCAAGGTATTTCACATCTTTTGCACCAATGAGAAGTTTGTCTTGCCCCTTGCCTAAAAACCCCATCCCAAACTTGGGCTGGCCATCATACCGGAAGATCCCCCAGTGTCTCTCAAAGTTACCCGGAGCTATACTCTTGGCGTCCTCATCAATAAGTCCAAACAGGTATACCTCCATGTCTCCAGGCCGAAGGGGTGTCCCTTTGTTGGGTGCATTAGGTTCCAGTCTTTGTAAAAGTCCATTGTAGAATCGGTAGGCTAAGTTCACATTAGCATTGATGTCACCTTCAGTTGGCCATCCAACTTCCCCTACCAAAATGGGCATGTTACCATACCCAGCAGCGTGTAGGGCTGAAACCAGGGTGTCAAAGTTGGCATCAAACACATTGGTGTATTGGATCCCGTTATCAAGAACAGGAGTGGCTAGCCCATCGAAGAAAGCAAAGTCAAATGGGAAGTCGGGATTTCCATAGAGACTCAAGAAGGGGTATATGTTCACTGTGAAGGGCGCGTTGTTCTGGTTAAGGAATTGAACAATTTGGGTCATCTGTTGATTGATATCTTTCCGGAACCTGCCAGCAGAAGGTACAGGGTTTTCGCTAGGAGAGTTGTAGACATCAGCATTTAAGGGTACGGTCGCCTTAATGGTGTCCCCGTGTCCGGCCTCATTCAGAGCATTCTGAATGTTCTGAAGTGCTGGAAAGGTTGTGTTGATGAAGGAGTTGTTGTAGGACGTGAGGAAAGGCTCGTTACCAACTGCAACATATCTACAAGCAAGTTGATAGAAAACACAGTAAAGATTAGGACATTTCTACGCTTAGCTTCACAGACAATAAAGAAAAATGAAAACCATGGTTAGCAATCACTCATATTCATTCATATAGAGGCACAAAATTGTTAGAATAAATCTACTTTACCCCAAAGATTGTACCCCAAAGGTTTATACATACATTTTGTGTCAATGTAAGTGCGAGATTGATGGCTTACATTGACACAAAATGTGAGTGCGAAATTTTGCAAATGCACTGACATTTTGTGTCAACGTAAGCCATCAAAATGTTAGTGTAAACCTTTGGGGTACATTTTGGCATACAACCTTTGGGATAAGCCTAGCATGGTTGAAATATTTGGACAAATCTAGCCTTGTCTTGTGCAAACACCACTGTCCATGAGATATGGCAGTGGCAAATGCACTATTCACATACACCCTAGAACATAAACTCTTTCCATGGAATCATTTAGCAGTAGAAGCTCCAACAACAGATCGATTGCATTGCGCGTTACAAAATCTTATCACCTATAATAATAAATAGAAAAACAGATAAATAATAATATAACCTTTACCAACCACATCAAAGTGGTTGGGAATCACAGTCAGAAATCCAACAAACAAGATGGAAATCAAATCAGCCCCAAACAAGGGATGGGAAGAAGGGTGCATACTTGATGGCGACGCCTCCTTTGAAGGAGTAACGGGTGACGTTGCGCCTCACCCATTTCTTGGCCCTATCATAATCATTCATAGAAAGGAGCTGGTCATTAGGTATGGCGACCATGACTTCAATGTCCTTCCCTGCAAGAGCACTCATCGTCGATTCATCGGCGTCGAACAGTTTAACCTTCTTAATCCCATTGTCTATCAGCATCTGCACCACCGTCTTCGGCGGCAGCTTGTGGGTGGCCATAGTTCCCCAGTTCACACCCAAGCCCTCAACGCCACCGCCAGCAAACAGAAATATTGATAATAAAACTAGAGAAATCCCAAATCTCTCCATTTTTTATTTTATTTGAAAATCTTATACAAGGGGGAGGGAAGCGCCGGGAATAAATCTTGTGTTGAATTAATGAATTTCTATATAGGGAAGCTGAATCTTGAATCCAAACTCAGTTGAAGAAGAGATCAGAAGAGAGAAAACCAAACCCACGAATCTACAGAGAAAACCACCTAGAAACCTCAACCACACAGAGAAGATGGGGCGTGAAACCGCTCGCTACTTCAAAGCAACTGCCACAACGTGGGTTGGAGTGTACAAATCTATAATTAGATGTGATTTGTGGGCACAGCGTCAGCGAGTACAAAGGCTTTCAATTTTAGAGAGGGTACACCAAAAGTTTGAGCGCACGTGTATCCCATTTATACACCAACCCCTTTTCCACCATCTATTTTTAATTAATATTTTTTTTTTGATTTTTTTGCCCAATTATGTGGACAAGGAAGGGATGAGGGACAAATTGGGTTATTTTTGGTGTACCCCTAGCATTTTTCTCAATTTTATGATCGAAAGTCATGCAAATAAAAAATGATAATTACTCCATCTTTCGAGAAAAGATTATTAATCTACTTGTACAATACTCTGATAATAAATTATAAAAAAATATTTGGTTATAATATAAATTTAGTAAAAATTAGTTTATTTTAAAATGTAGCTTTGAAAGCATCAAGTTTTTATAATATTTAATCATTTAAACTATATTTAATTTGGTCAAAATTATTGAGGATAACTCATGATCACACCCTATTTTTGAATATCTGAACAGTTGTTGTATTCTTGTCCCTTATACTCCCTCCGTCCCCTAGCTTTTGTCCACTTCATTTTGGCACAACAACAAATATAAGGTGTCAAAAGACATAAATACCCTTAGCCATGTCCCTCCTAGCCCTAATACCCCAATGCTTCTTGCGTTAATCTGCCGCCAAAGCCCCGTCATAGAGCCAGCTTATCAATCCATCTTCAGCCATAGAGACTCCACCATCAATCCATCGTCACCTCTAATCCTCCACCAACCAGTCCACATCAACCCCAAAATCAAAATAAAAAAGAAAATTGATAAAGATCTAAATTTTAAGAAATTTAGTAGTTAAAGATGTAGATCTTAAGAAGAGATCTAGTGTTCAAAGACATCTCTTCGTTGAAGACATCTAATCGCCGTCCATTGGGCATCAGAGAAACGTCCAGCTCGAGGTAACCATCGAAGAAGACAACCACCTATTAGCAAGTATTGAATTAGAAGATGAGAGAGAGAGAAAGATATTTAAGGATGGAGAATCGGAGATGAGAGAGGAAATGATAGTGGTGAGTGAAGGAGAATCAGAGATGAGAGAGGAGATGATAATTTGATGGTGAATTAGAGTAAAAACTAAAAAGATTGTGAAATGGAATTGCCGAGAGGAAGGGAAAGATGAGTGGTTGAGAGGGTATTATGGGGGTTTCATTTAACTTTTCTTTCTATATATAGAAAGTGGACAAATATTGAGGGACAACTAAAAAAGGAATACTGGACAAATACTCAGGGACGGATGGGAGTATTTAGGATCTGTCTAGTGCATCTCTTTGTGTTACAGATCTGCTTCCCTTCTTTGTAGCATCGGTTGGCCATGTACTTGTATAAAGCTTCTCTTGTGTGATAATAGATATAACCAATTCCATGTATAGTTTACATGGTACTAGGGCTTTATGTTTAAACATATTTATTCCCCGGCCACTAATGATGTCTCTCGATGTTTCTGTCTCCGTGGGCTCTAGTTTGTCCCCTTCGTCGGACCTTGTTCGCATATCCGCATCCAAGCATTTTCCCATAAGATTGACCAAGACAAACTTCCTTGTTTGGCTTCGTTAGGTTCAAACCACCCTTATTGGCTTGAATCTTCTTGGCTATGTTGATTGGTTTTGGCTTTTGCAACTCAAGGGTGGATGCTTCGCTCTTCATTTATGCCAAGGGTGCGGTTAGCCTTTATTTTCTGGTATATGTGGATGATATTGTTATCACAGGAAATTCTACAGCTGCCCTTGATGGTTTTGTTCACAAGCTATTTTGTCGATTCTCTCTTAAAGATCTTAGGTCATTCCCGTTTTTGGAGGCGTTTTCTTGTCTCAATGTCAGTACATTTATAACATTCTGATTGACCACAACATGGAAGATGCAAACTCTATCACTACCTCTTGTCTTCGTCGTCTCCTCTTCAGCTACATGATGGTTCCCCTTCGGCCGCTTCCACTGCTTTTCAGAGACTTTTGGGCTCACTGCAGTACATGTCTCTTACTCGCCCTAATGTTTGCTTTGTTGTGAATAAATTATCTCAATTTATACATGCGCCTACAGTGACTCATTAGCATGCCGCTAACCGTGTTCTTCGATACTTGAGTGGCTTCCTCTCTGATGGTCTCTTTCTTAGTGGAAGCACTGTTTAATGCGAGAGACTTAGCAGCCATCTGAGCTATCCCTTTATCTTCTACGACAAGTATGGATAGGTTGTTCTGGATGCCCGATAAAACTAGGAATTACACTGTCAAGAGTGCGTACAGAAAGCTAACATGGGATGAAGCAATAGAGAGCAACACGGCGAGTGAGCTTATGGAGGAAGGTATGGAAGGCTAAGGCTTTACCAAAGGTTTGTAATCTTGTTTGGCGTGTGGTTAATAATATTCTACCGTGCTTGAATAATCATGTTAGGAAAAAGGTCCATGTAAATGATATTTGTCCTTTCTACCATGGTGCGGAGGAGACAGTAGTCCACCTCTTTGTGTCATGCCACTTTGCTCGTCAGGTTTGAGGTGCTTCCTTCCTCGGGTGGTTTTCCCTTGTAGCACAAACTTTTCCTGAATGGTTGGTGGCAATATTTAATCTTTTTAATGCTAAAAATCAAGCTTTGATATACTGTATTATTTGGTCACTGTGATCAGCCTGCAATGCGAGGATTTGGAAAGGGGGGTCAATTTTGGCCCTCCGAGTCTGGAATCATGCATTAAGAGCTTTTGAGGATTCGGGCCTTGTTGCAGCACCTTCTGTTGAGTCTAGGGCGCCGGGGGATAGGAGAAACCCCCCTCAACTTTCATTAAAGTTAATGTTGACGCTTTGGTGGGGCCCATATAGAATCATGTGGGCTTCGGCTTGGTTGCTCGGGACCACGATGGATGCTTCGTTGCAGCTAAAAGTATAAGTGTAGAGGAAATTTTGGTCCTCGTGAAGCGGAGGCCATCGCGGTGAAGGAGGCTCTCAGTTGGATTAAAGCTAAAGGTTGGACTCGTGCCATAATTGAGTCAGATTGTAAGGAGGTCATCGATCAACTAAGTTCACCTGTTAGTCATTATTCTTACTTTGACTCGATGTTTCTAAACGTCTCCGTATTATTCGTGGAGGAGACCTTACATCTCAGTTTTCTCATCGCTCATCCAATGAGGCAACACATATTTTAGCATTTGCTACTCATTCAATGTCGGGTGTAGGGGAGTGAGTTGATTCACCCCTTGACTTTATCGTAAACTTCCTTTAATTTAATGAAGTGAAGTTTTACCTCAAAAAAGAAGATTATCTCTGCATTCAAACGGCGTCGTCTTATCTCATCTTGCCGAACTGCTCCTTCCTCCCGTGAAACCCTAGAGGAAACAATAGCAGTGAATTCGAATACACACCACCTGAAACTCATGGTGATTGCTAGAACCGGTGTATTTGTCGATGATTATTTGGAATGTAAGAACAATTATTTGATAACGTCGATTGATATAAAATCTTCTCTTAAATATCTTATGTATTTGATTCTGGTGATATTGAGTTTCTCTGCAACAGATTCAAACACATTGCCCGCTGAGCTCCAGAGGCTCCTCAATACTATAAGAGAACTCGATGAACGTTCTCATGGTCTGTCCTCTCTCTTTTTCCATGATTGTGTACATGTTCTGCTTTTTTAAAATAAATTTTTATTTTTTCTTACAAATTGAGCTTGAGGATCATACTGAGGTTAATATTAAGTACAATGATTATGTTTGCATTTAAATTGGTTAAATTTTTATGTTGCGTCCCTTGAAAACAACCTCTCTACTTTTAAGTAGGGGTATGGTTTGCGTGCACATGCCCTCACCAGACCCTACTTTCGTAGGATTTCACTGGGTTGTTGTTAGTTTTTTGTTAGATTGGTTAACTCTTAACAAGTGCATGAATCTTTGCATGGAATGGGCATGAAGCCATGATTAATCACAGCAGGCAGCACACGAATTATTGTCTTGGATTAGCTTCTCAGGCTCACGGTTCAAGGAAAAGTAATTATGAAGATGATGAATCCTTTGAGAGGTTGAGAAAGGAAATTGAGGTTAACCAGAACAATGCATTAAGCCTCTGCACCGAGAAAGTTTTGCTTGCAAGACAAGCTCATGACCTTGTAATAGATTTATTTTTATTTTTTTCTCAATAGATTTATTGTTTTTTTTTCAAATCCCATTGTTTTTTCTGCACATATTCATTCAGGAAAAAGTTATTCAGCTTGTATTTTGCATATTTTGTCTCATAAATGGAAATGCAAAAGTTTAATACTCCCTTTGTCCTATGAAAAAGTCTCACATTTTCTTTTTCATGGATCACAAAATATGGTTCCATTTTCCGTTTAAGGAAAGAATTATGTGGTGCATATTTTTCTTTATCCTCACTACACGACTGCGCCTTTCTTAATAATTGTGTCAATTCCACTGTGGAACCTTTTATAGGACAGAGATAGTATGTAGAGCATGATTATCATGTTTACCTTCCAACTGTTTGACTTGCAGCTTCTTGTATTGCTTGTGAATTTGCTTTCAGATAGATAGCCATATAAAGCGTCTAGATGAAGATCTTAACAACTTTGTAGAAGATCTCAAGCAAGGTGCATTGCCTGCTTTTGACACCTTCAAACTCCAAATTGAGCTCTTTTTCTTGAAAACTAATATTTGAAAGGATAAAACTATCCGTGGTACAGATATATTATTCTAATTTTATAATGATTAATTTTTTTAATTATAGTTAAACACCAATTTGATATCACCCATGGTTGTAATAATCACTTAGAATTGACCTTGTTCATCATCATTCAACTCTGTATTACTGCAGAAGGGAAATTGCCAGCAGATGAGCCAGCAGTTCTTCCTCCATTACCTTTCATCCTCAAAACTGAAAAGCGGAAACATATGTATGGAACGCCCCAATTAAAAAGACCTCAAAATAGGGAGAGGGATTGGGACCGCGAGCGTGACAGGGATTTAGAGCTTATGCCACCTCCTGGAGGTCTTAAAAGGGATTTCTCTTCCCCAGTTGATATCGATCAACCCATTGATCCAAATGAACCCACATACTGTGTCTGCCATCAGGTTTCCGTTCTGGTCTTTTTTACAACTTCACAACTTATTCTCTTTTCTATTACGTCACACATCAAAACTTATAATCCCTCTACCCAGAAATGTTTTTCCCATGTTGGTTTACGGGGTTGACTGAAGGTATTTTCAAATCAATTAATGTGATTACAAGTAAAATTTCAAAAATAAGATTTATATATTTAAAATATACACAAAAATTCTACAAAACAAGAGGTGACATGACTATAGTATATTATGAAATGAGTAGTGAAAATAAGCAAAAAAAGCTGAATAAAGTTTGACTGTGTAAATAGTGAATGGTAAGAACATTTCCAGACGGAGGGAGTAACTTCTACATCTCATTTTCAAACAACAACAACAACAACCAACCCAGTTCGCACACCTATGAAATGTAAAGAGTAAATCTCATTCTGAAAGAAAACAAACTTGTAGCGTGAGTTCACTTCTGATGCATGGTTGATATTTCAGGTATCATTTGGTGATATGATTGCTTGCGATAATGAAAATGTAAGCATTGTCTCAGTGAGGATTTTACCTTTACTTTCTACAGGCATCGACCATGCGCATATATATGGATGAATGCTGGAATGAATATGTAATTAATACTGCTATGTGATTGTCTTGTGTTATTCACCTACCCTTTGTTTGTTGGCAGTGTCAAGGAGGCGAATGGTTCCACTATGCGTGTGTCGGGCTCACGCCTGAGACCAGATTTAAAGGCAAGTGGTATTGCCCAACCTGCAAACAGTAACCACACTGATCAGACATGTCAATGCACTTGTTGGCACAATGGTCTAATGTATTGGACAGGAGCACCATGGAAGGGATTATTTTCAATTATGCCATTCCTCATGTGAGTTGGCGCCAAGTTACTTCGATAAGGCTTAGTTGTAGTTCCATGCAACTCTTGTGTATTTATGCCTGGTCTAATCTTGAAGGAAAAAGAATTCATGGATTGCTCAATAAAGCTTCTTCTCTTGTTGTCTCATCTTTGTTATAATTCCCAAGAGATAATGTCTTAAGATTAAACAATTGTAAAGTAGGTTGCTTTTGTATATTGAGCTTGCAAGGTGAATTGGTGGCACATGCCTTTTTATGATACACAACTGTTAGTAGACTGATGTAAAACCACAAGCATAGCAAAAGAGATATGAACCCTATCAAGATGCACTTGACAGATGCATGCAAAAAAAAGAGCTCAGAATTCTGTTCAAGTCTAGCTACAGGTCATATTATATGGCCCATACACTTCTAGCTAGTAAATCCAACCTTTCATCGTTTTTATGAATGCGTCCACATACATGAGAAAATGTGACTATGCAAATGACAATTTTGTCCTTCCATTTTAATGAGTCCAAGCATTTTCAAGCAATACAGGTAAAAAAATATTTTTACATACTTTTTGTTAGTTCCATGGTGTTGGTTAGTCTTTTGGCAAAATAGAATTTCATATTTGGTAGGAGTGTTACTAGGTATAAATCTCTATTTGTTTGGAGAGGTTTATTTTATTTTATTTCTAGAGTTGTTGCAGTTTTCGAGATTGACATAGTAGGTGCTACAACACAGTGCTGCAGCACACTGTACGGGATTTTAAGCTACAATCTGCAATTTCTAGAATTAGAGACCTATTGGGATTGTGACTAAATGATAATAAATTCAGATGGTGTTTTGAAGGTTTTAGGCTACTTGTGGATTAAGATTAAGGAAGTTGTATTCAAGACAACTTCTACTAACCTATTCCTACCAGGATTGTGTTAAGAGAAGCCTATAAAAACGCAGCAGATCCCTGGGAATTCCTTGGAGCGATTGAGTGGGAAAAACACAGAATATATCCTGATGTAGAGTGTTCCCGTCGTGTACCAGAGCTTCCATTACGTGAAGAAGGTTACGATCTACATTTAAGAAAAGATATTCAACGCCAAAACAAATCGTGACATCCAGGAGTTGAATTGGAGTTGAACGAGTGGGCTGCAAACACGTTTGTCCTAGTGATCTCGGTGGAGATGTGATAGCTAAAGCGGATCTGTACATGGTACGGGTTAGAAATCCTAGATTAGAAATTTTTCACAACAATTCGGAGAAGTGTGTCTCATCATGTTGTTATCTACCAGTGTAACTTGCATCTAATGACTTAGAGCACGTTCGCTAGGACTTGAAGAAAAGAGCTGGATGTTGGAAGAAACGGGAAAGAATTGGAAGAAACTAGAAGAAATCGAAACGAACTGAAAGAATCTGAAAATTTTAATGATTGACATTTTATATTCATTGTAAACCTACTTCTCGATTAAAGACATACTCAGTATAACTTTTTTTTTTATTTTTTATGTTTTACTCCTACTTTTGTCATTTTCTTTAAAGTACTTTAACTTTCAAATTTTTTTATAAAAATTAGAATAATGAAAAACAAAATTAATTTTTTAAATAAATAAAAAAGAGAAAAAATTAAGTAATAAAGTATAAATTTTGTGTTATTTGTATAAATTGACTTTCAAAAGTATAAACTTTTTGTTAGTTTTATTTTAATTATTGGTGATATTATTTGTTATCTGAATTTCTTTTTTACACTTTTTAGGTCGTTTTTTCTTTTTCAAAATATAGTTCTCTCTTGGTTGTCATAATGTAGTACTCTCCACCCCCATTCCATTTTTATATTTTAGATTAAAGTATTGATGTTTACCTTTTATAAATTTAGATTAAAAACATTCTATGTAACTATTTTATCCAATTTTATTTGAATAGTTTAAAATATTGATGTTTTCCTATTTTATCATGTAGATTCATATACAAAAAAATGGTATTATTCATATTAAAAAGTTGAAGAAAAAATAATAATGAGTGTGAATCATAAAAATAGTGAGATGAAAAAACAAATAATTTATAAACTATAGTTATGGATATAATAGTTGTAATAATAATAATAATAATAATAATAATAATAATAATATTGTTTTTAAAGTGATTTGTCAGAAAGTAGAAAGAGTTTAAAGAAAATAAAAATAGTTGGAAGAAACTGAAGGAACTAGAAAAAACTTGTGCTTCTTTGTGTGTGCTTGTGCTAGAGAAGGTATTATAACACACTCTCTGTCATTTGTTACTGCGACAGTGCTACAGTAAGTTCTCTGCAGCATAGTTGGTTGATTTATTTGCATAGTTTTCAATTGGTGATTTATTGGCTTGGTCATGAGGCTCAGTCCGGCAGACTCGGCTCGAGCCGGTGAGCTCAACTTGATCGTACTGAGCTTAGCAGCCCCGCTTGGTCCAGGGAAGGTCCATGCTCGAGTCAAACCCACCACGTGAACGCACCAAAAGGGGATCGGACGTTCCGCATACCTCTAATATCTAAAGACACAGACTAGGTGACAAGGGAATCCCACGGAAGTCCGAATAACACAAGAGGCAACGACAAGAACTAAACGACAAACAAGTGTCAATCACGGTTATTACCATTTTAATAGGAAGGAAGCTATGAAATAGCCTCCGAGCATAGCATTGTAACGGATCCAAAATCAAGCAAATATACTCCTACTTTGCACACACTTTCTCTCTATTCGTTTTCCTTGCTTACTGAACTCACCCGACCCCACGGTCAGCCTACTCAGTGGTTTATTAGCACTGAATTAGTGCTTTCATTGAGAGCGAGGGACACACTCGTAGGTTAACTCCCAGACAACGAGAATGGTGCGTACTAGGAGCAACAATCCCACCACGAGCCACATTCCCGACGAGAGGAACAGCCAAGCCAACGGCAACGCAACCAGTGCTATCACCTCGGCTCCCAATGCGGTCCAGGTGCTATTCGAGATGGGAGTGACCACGGAGCAACTTAAGGTTGCCGTTCTAGTCCTCTCTGCCATTGGCAGAAGCGGGTGCAGCACTGGAGCCACCCAGGCTCCGGGGAACCCGTTACCGAGCATGCCACCACTTCCTAGGCAAAGGAAAAGACGACCCGAAGGAGATGCAGGAGACTGGGCAAAGGCCTAGTGGCGGAGGAAGTGGTGGTGGAAGAGATTTGTGAAGAGGGAGACGATGACTCCAGCGAAGGTCGAGTGTCGACCTTCAAGAGGCTGGGGGAGGGAAAACCCACGTGTCGGCCTTTGACAATCTCAACCAAGGGCGCTCCACCCGCCAAGTAGATCTACGCCGTCATATTTCAGAGGGGAAACAGAAGCACGCCGAGGAATTGGCCACCTCAGACGCGTGTTTAGGCCAACCCAAGCGCGCAGACGGCTGGCGGGACAGGCGAACCCAGCATCACCGGAGTCTGAAAAGGACAAAGAAGACGAAGGGCTCGGAGCACGGCATGTCTAGCCTCGCGAGAGAAGTTGCTGAGCTTGGGGATCCTTAGGACGGTCACCCCTTTCACACCACGAGTAATGTCGATATCGCTGCCAGCGAACTTTTGGCCATGGCAGATCAAAGCTTACAACGGGACGAAGGGCCAACAAGACCACTTGTCGAAGTTCTGCTAAAATGATTTTATTCGATCTAGCAACTAAAATGATTTTAAAAATTAATATTATATTAAAAAAGAATTTTATTATTATTGTTATTGTTATTATTGAGCATATGCACACTTGTTTGGTGGATAGCTGAATGATTGATAAACACAAACATTAAAGGTAAGATTTTATACATACAAATATATAAATTTATGTTCGGCCTATCTAAAATGAAAAGACCTCCGGGTGAGGGGGAAACTTTCCCAGTTGGAGTCACAATAAGCAGTCAACTGAAGAAAACTACAATAACGTAGAAGAATACCTTGGCCAAGATGCCCTTTCAAGTATCAAAGAACTTGCCTCGTCATGTCCATATGATCCAGACATGGTGCATGCATATACTGAGAAAGAACATGAACCAAATATAAGAGATCGTGTTGAGTAATAGTGATTTATCAAACGATCCACAAGACAGCGATACTGAGCTGGATCACAAAGTTCAAAACTAGTAGACCAAGAAAAGCTGTGATTTGGTTTAAGTGGGGTATCGACCGGAAAAGAAATAAATTATAAATGAGGGGTGTGGCCAATACCCTATTAGGCACAACTTACGAGTTTTTTTTTTTGAAAATTTCATACTCCCTAATTGTGATGGATTTTGAGTTGGAGTTGCAAGTGGGGGGGGGNAACTAATCAACTCAAAAATTACTCTTGAATATATGTATATCTATTAAAATTGCGTCAGTTCACTGGGGGCAACTGCCCCCTTAATCACCATTTAGATCTGCCAATGTTGTGAAGGAAACTTCACTACTGAGCGCTTTTTCAATGAAATGAAATAGTAAGGACCAGACTTCAGGCCAAGGCATCATCTGAGTTAACTACTGTTGTCACATATTTAATCAATAATTGGAATAATAATATTTTTGTCACAAATATTTCATTAACTTATCCTCTCTCAAGGTACCATTAATGTGTGTTTAAAAAGTTTGTCTTAATTAATTTTATATCCTTATAGACAAGTTGGGATTTTTCTCATTTTTAGAATATCACTTTGTCATGTTGACACGAGAAAAAAAATAAAATTGTTAATCCTCATCTCATGAAATTGAACCATGAGCTTTTTGGATAACTTACTCTCTCAAAAGACTCATCACACGACATAGAACCACATGCTTTTTGGCAATCACCCCAATTAAGTCTCATCATCTGACATAGAACCAAATACTTTTTGACTTTTTATTCATTCCAAACTCGATCTCACCAAAGTGTGTTCTTTGAATTTTGCAGAAAAGTATACTGCTCATACTCCATTTGAAGTAGCGGGATAACGTCATTTTAGACTTTCAAATAAATGACAATTTAGAAATGTTTGACCTTAACATATTTTACAAGTTAATGTTAATTTACTAAAACGATAAATTTTATTTTCAACACATTAGCATCTGGTTTGAATGATTGATGGACACAAAAATTGAAGGTAAAATTTTATACATACAAGTATATAAAATTTTTGTTCGGCCTATCTACAATGAAAATAATTAAATAAATAAACATTTTTTTTGACTAATCAAGAGTACAATGGAAGGTTTAAAACAAATAAATAATTTTGTGATTCAATTTCTTAAAATTGG